CAACCTATTTCCAAGCGTACACCGATTACGTGCATAATAAAAGAACGCTGTTTTGTGTTGTTTGGTTGGATTACTGGTGTGTGGTAAAAAAGGCGTTTGTCAAAAGTAAGTAAATGCAGCAAATTTGCCAATTTATGTACTATAATCAGTGCAAGGAAGCCCGCTTTGTCGGGTGACTGTAGGAAAATAGGGTTTATGGTTGATGTGTTGATGTTTATGTTGTTTAATAAATGTTTTCAAAAATGGTTTGCATTTACCAATATATGATATTACCAATTTCATACGATAATCTTGTAATAATTACTACAGGTTTAGTTTCACTTTTATTGCATGTTAGCTACGTGTTTTCATTACATAAACAACATAGAATAGTGATAAAACAAGATGCCGTAATATTCGATTAGGAGTTTAAACTATAACCACGATCTAATTGGCAATAATAATTCTGCGTCCATAAAGTTGTGGCTTAAGGCGTAATGGAATACCGTGTACCGTATTGCAAGTGAAATTGCTTTTACGAAGTAAATGTTAAAAAATACGCTTCGATGATTTTTATCATTAGCCATTTAAAACTAATTGTTTCATTTTTCCTTTTCAAATGCCTTAGGTCCAAAGGTATAATTGGTTTATCTTTTGTTTACGTTACTTCTAAATCTCATTGTTAATTCGTTCACTTTATTTTTGATTACCTCCACCGCATCAAAACCGCAGACTAAGTGAATTTCCATTTACCTTGCTAGATTTGCATTAAAACATTCCCTTAATAAATAATAAAAATAAACTCATAATAAATACTAATAATAAACAAACTGTCAGATTTATTTCCTATTTAAATAACAAAAACAAATTATGAGTAGTTTGGTTTGCTGCTTCAGGGAGAGAAAAATGCGTGTTTTTTTTAATTGAAATGTCGATAGCTATGAGATTAACAAATTTGTCAAATCCAATTCAAATATATCCATAAACAAGCAAACTGCGACGGTTTAATTATTCTCCATAAGAATAACATGAATGATTAATAAATACAGTTTTATTTTTTTCCAACAGGGTTTCATTAAAGGATTTACTGTCACAACTTTAATATCGAGGTTATTCATCGTAAAAAAAATTAGGTTTATTAATAAAAATATTCTCATGGACTGAAAATTGAGCTCAATTTATTTTTCTGAAGACAGTTTAATAACTACCCCTTACGAGAACGTGAAATGAACAAGGATATAAATTACATAGTGTTTGAGACACGATTAACGAAGTTGGTCATCGCATGCGATCGAAGCGAACTACTGACATACAGTACAGTATCGCCAAGTTTATACGTGGCCTTGATCTCACCTTGATGTCTAGTTATGAGGCAGTAGCTCGACACTCACTCACTCATTGGAAGTCAACCATGTGATTATCTTGTTTTTATGTGTTGGAACATTCGCCAGATGATTAAATCCCTCGTCCCCGAATGTCGGACATTCCTTCATGTTTGATGGTAGTTGCCGGGCCACTGATGTCGTCATCTTCACGGCGCCTACGTGACGCTGTTGGCGGAAACTTACAATAATTGCGTTCCTTAGACTAGATACGTCATCGTCGTCTACATCATCGTGACGTCTTAAGTGTATCCCACCACATAATTACAGACGGAACGGAACAGTTTAGCTTTCTCGTGATTGTTTTTCGGTTGTTGGAAATTTCACTTTGGTCGTTTTAATGGCTGCGTTTCCCGCGTCGAATCGTAAAGCACGGTCCTCCAGACGGTTCTGTGCTTCCTCTGCGCCTGACGGTGGCGCCAATGAGTGTCATCTCTCAACAAGTTTCGTTTCCGAATGGAAAAACGCTAGCTCTCCAAGCTACATAGATGTCAACGCAAGTATACCAGCAACTTGTAATAACTTCCCATACTATCCAAACCTATTTGTGGGATAATGTGGAGGGGGTGGGTGAACCTCCCATAAAGATAGCTAGAAGTGCTTCCTTAGCTGATTTGTTGTTGGACGCCTGAAAAGTAGCGATAGACAGAATGGGAAAGGAAGATCTTTAGTAACCCGTTGATATGTCCGACGTCCAGTTGCCACTGAGCGCGGACGGATTGACGATTCCAGTGTCATTTCTTCTAATTGCTTCTAATTAAGCTAATGATACACACAGACAAAATGTCCAAAGGGTACCATTTCCACTAGGCGAGGCGGAGCTCTAGTGGCCAGCTGTGACCAATGATGTAATCTGGTTTTGTAAATAAAAACAAGCCGTAGATTTAATTAAAGATAACTGAAATAAAGCAGTTGAAATACAGGGCTATACAAAAATATGGACCCAACTTCATGAATTTGTATCTAAAAAAGTATAAATCAGATAGACATAAACTTTACACCATTAAAAATAGGAAATTTCAAAGTTTTTTTTTACCATAGTTTCGTAAACAGCCGAAAAGTTATCGCAACAATGTGCAGCCATTTTGTTTTACCTGATTGTCTGTTGTTAGTAAGATGCCTACCATGCAACATAAGATCTTATGTTTGACATAGTTTGCAAAAACTGAGTCTAGTGTGCTTTTCGCATCGATTTTGGTAATCAACCACCAACTAGAAAAAGCATAACTCGTTGGTTTAGGAAATTTCAATAAATTTGTGACACTGATTAAATTATACCATTGACTAGTCAATGATTATACTGATTTAATAACACTTATTAAGTAATACTGATAAATTAGGGTGTGTTTATGTCGGAGCTGCGACTAGCGATAAGAGCAGCGATGCGAGCAGCGATGCAAGCTGTGATTATTTCTCTGCTCTCATCTGTGTTTATGTTGGAGCTGAGATAGTAGCGTTGTGTCAAGTGGTTGAAGATGAGTGACTCTGAAGAAGAAAATTTAGTTTTTTCTTCTTTTTCCATATAGGCCCTACTTTGTATAGAGGGAGAAAGTAATAGACCTTAGACGTTATTGGCTTTTACAATTCAAGGATTAACCAATCATTTTTGTTATAATTTTTCAAAAACCACATTTTATAATGGGTTTTGAATATTGATATGGTCTTATTTGTTAAGTTCTTTCATCTAATATTTTTCTTTAGCCTTTTTAGAATTAATTGGAACAGCTGATGATTTTAAAATGATTCATATTGTACAAATAAAACATTCCTTTCTGTTCTTCTTGTAAACATGGTTTACTATTTTTTTCTCTCTAGGTGAAAAAACGAACCTCTATCACAACGAACCTGTTGTGATGGTTTTTGTCCGATTTCGTAAATATTTCCGCCACTAAACTTTCAATATCCATCTTTGCACGACCAACGACACTAGCTGAGAAAAAGGACTGAAGCATTGTCACAGCTACTATCGCTGGTCGGGACCCAAGAGAGATTTAAAGCGCAGCTCCAAAGTAAACAGACCCTTAGAGATGCTGTATGGTGTGTGGGATGAATTCTGCTATCGCTTCTAGATGTTTGTCGGACACATCAGGGTGGGCACATAGAGCATTTGTAATCAGTAAAAATAAAACTTTGAAATTTTCTTTCTAACGGTGTAAAAACTTATTTGTTTCCGAAATACTTTTCGAGATACAAAGTACGAAACTGGGTCTATATTTTTGAATAGCCATGTTGCCATGTATATTTTTGTTTAGCCGTAAACATGAATCTAGCCAAACTTCTACTGTTTTTTTTTTTTTTACACACATACCTACGAAATGCAACATTTGGAGCTGTACAGTACCTATATATGCGAGGCACTCTTGTTGTTAAATACAAATTAACATCTTAAGTTTGGGGTATTCTCAATATTAACATTAAAGATACATCACGCACATTAAATCTCGATGATTAAACTCCAGTGTCTTTAAAAAATATCATTTTAAGGGTTTTCAGCTGACTCTCCTTTTAACCATACAAAAGAAGAATTACCTCTTGAGTCGACCCTACACTTAGAGCCTTAGAGTTAATGAGTAGCTTGGTTTTATATTGTGACCTTAATGTGTTTTGTTTATTGGTTCTCTCTGCTAAGTTAATGTAATGTACAATAAGTGACCCTTGAGGCGACCACTTACTGAACATACAAAGTGAAAACACATTAATCACAACACAGCATTACATGACATCTCCATATTACGACACTTACGACTATTGACTATTAATTTGTAAACGCTTACGACGTTTTTTAGAATGCCTATTTCTGTTCAGAGTGTTAATTTATCCACATGATCCACATAAGACTGAACAACCAATATAAGCCGATTTATAAAACCGCTAATAAAACAATCATGTGTGACGTGTGTTAACCAAATTCTATTAACAAAAATGTAAAATTAATTATAGTCGATAAATAACTTGTAACGTATGACGTTACAAACGTGTCATTCAAATGGTAAATTATACACGTCACAATAGTGTAACCTATAAACTGTCGAAACTGTAAGATCCTTGTCCTTAAAAGTTTTACAACAAATCTGAACTTGACATTGTTTTTATTTTAAATCACTCAATTGCTGTTAACTTCGATCTACATCTAGACTAGTTTTACATATATATGTATAGAAGCTGCTTTAGAAGTGTTCACATTACATCAGCCTTGTATCAGTACAAATACCTATGTAAAAATCGATAACCATACTAATAGTAATTAATTGCAGTATTCATTAACATTATTTAAATGCATCTATAGTTTTATGAATATTGTGTATGAAATAATAATAGTAGGTATACAGCTTTGTAATTAAGCACACATTAATACAGACTGTAAGATTGATAGTACAAGGTCATATTTATGGGTTGCTTTCTACAGTGCTTCGATGGTTTGACAGTTTGAACATAAAATATTGTTATTGTTATACCAGATGTTTCGTACCTGTTAATAAATTATAAGATTATTGCCGCTGCTGTAGTGGTGCAATCGACCTACTGTAGGGGTCCGCTAAGTTGCGCAAGGTCGTTTGACGTCCTTGACATTGAACATTGAGGTCCTGCAGCAGGACAGATTGAGGCGGTAGCTGGTAGCTCAGTCAGGTGTAGACTCTCGCCCCGCGCGCTATGGTCCCGCTCCCATGGCGACTCTCTCCCTGGCCCTCGCAGTGCTCGTCGTATCCGCGGGCTCCGCCCTCGCACAGCTCTCAGTCCTACAATCCGTGCTGCAGTACTACCGGTCGGCAGTCAGCATCCCCCCGGGCGCCACCCCGGACACGGACGTGTTCCTAAAGGAGTACGACTTCGTGGTGGTAGGCGCGGGGTCCGGCGGCTGTGTGGTCACCAACCGACTGACGGAGGTCCCGGAGTGGTCGGTGTTGCTACTAGAGGCGGGCAAGGAGGAAATATTACTGACCGACATCCCCATACTGGTGTCGTACATCCTCGCCACCGACTACAACTGGGGCTACAAGACGCAGCCACAGCGGGGAATGTGCATGAGCATGGAGAAGAATCGGTGCAACTGGCATCGAGGAAAGGGCATGGGTGGCACAAGCATCGTCAACTACATGGTGTACACGCGGGGTAGCAAAAAGGATTTTGATAACTGGGAGAAACTCGGGAATCGTGGTTGGTCCTACGACGATGTGCTTCCTTACTTTAAAAAGTCAGAAAACATAGCTGTGCCTGTCTTAAAAAACTCTGAATATCATGGCACCGGTGGTTATTTGAATGTAGATAGAGCCCATTGGGGCACCCCTTTAGGAAAGATTTTCATAGAGGCTCTTAAAGAAAAGGGCTACCCTTTGAAGGACAGTAATAATCCAAATCCGATCGGGGTATACCCTGTGCTCTCCACCACCATGAACGGCGCCCGTTTAAGTGCGTCCAAAGCCTTCATCCGCCCAATCAGGTCGAGGAGGAACTTATACGTCGGTAAACAAGCGCGGGTGACCAAGATTCTTATAGACTCCAGAACCAACAGAACTTTCGGGGTGGAGTTTGTTAAAAATCGGAAAACATATGTAGTGCGTGCTCGAAAGGAAGTGATTCTGTCAGCGGGTAGTTTAAATAGTCCGCAGTTACTTATGTTGTCTGGCGTAGGTCCCAGAGATCACCTAGACGAGCTTAAGATACCAGTGATTAAAGATTCTAGAGTCGGGTATAACCTGCAAGATCATGTTTCAATGGCAGGATTGGCTTTTCAAGTGAACGACACCGTTACCATAGTAGAGTCGAGATACCAAAGCCCACAGTACTTCTTCGACTATCTCCTGAATGGCAACGGCCCTTACACCATGCCAGGAGGTGCAGAGGCGGTGGCGTTCACCAGGACCAAGTACAACCAGGAGAGTGATCAGCCCGACATGGAGTTGGTGATGGGTCCGGGCAGCTTCATGGGCGACACTGGCGGCAGTCTGCGTCAGAGCTTCAACATACGACTGGATGTGTTCAATAGGATCTACGGGTCTAGGATGGGTCAGGATGGGTTTGGAATCGTCCCTATCCTACTACAGCCCAAGAGCAGAGGCAGAGTTAAGCTCAAGTCGAACAACCCTTTCCACTGGCCTTTGCTCTACCCCAACTACTTCTCAGACCAAAGGGACGTGGACGTACTCGTTGAAGGGCTAAAACAGGTAGCATGTCAAATATTATTAAACTAACACAATTAATTAAATTCTGCACTAGAAATGGTCTTTTGAAACTGTCAGTTGTAAGTGTAAGGCTCCCACTCTATTTTTGTTTAGGATAATACAGCATCATATTCGTTGCGTACAACTTGATTAACAGAGAGTATCATTTCATTGGTCTTAAATTGTTAAGGTTTAACCACAGTGTCTATTCAAACCTTAACTATTTCTGCCAAAGTTCTTGTAGCTGAAATTGTAAAAAAAGGTCGGGACTATTAAAGTATTTTTTTATAATTTTTCTTTCACGATCTCGAACTCTTCTGTCTTGTTAAACACTCGTGACAGCTGAATTATGGTTTCAAGAACTAGTTGGTTATTATTATAATGTAGACCCTACTTGTGATGATTTTTCATGATAACAGGATTGTTCAAACATATTATTTGCGGCATAATATGTCACAATATTCCATTAAAAATTATCGTCATTAAATAAAATAGATCATCAAAAGGTTTTATCGCCATGATAAATGTGAAAGAAGCCAGATTATTTCAATATTCGTTTTTCAATACCTGTTTGAGTGAAGGAGGTGAGTAGACGCTTTATAAATCACACCGAAAGCAATAATAGCTGAAAATAATTTATAATCTCCCTCCCTCGTAATACATTTTTCATTTTCATAAAAATATGCCTATGGTTAGAAACAAAAAAAATTGAGATAAGACAGAATCCAGGGTAAGATTGTTGCAAATTATTAATTAATATCATGTTATTTTATATTTAAAAGTTTGACCTTTTCAGTAATATACATAAATGATTCAAAGTGAATATATTATACTTATAATCCATGGCATTGCATACTATCAGCCAAAAGGTATATTAGCTAACACTGGTAGAATGTTTCTCTCTTAGTAGCCTTTAGCAGCAGCTTGCGACAGAAAAATATCAATTTATATTCGCAAACTCTTCAGTTTATTACTTTACATTGAAACTTATTACTTAATTATCTGACGAGTGACAATATATTAGGCTCGATGGTATTCGTAAAATTATTCAAAACAATCTTTCAATACATATCCACCTGACCCGATATGATTCGTAGTGATCACCCCCCCCCCCCCCCATGATTTACCGTATTCTCATACAATCAAGTCTAACGAACCATGGTGTCAATCATCTAGTTATGACGTCATGCCTCGCCCTCTCTTGCCATCATCACCTGAGTATAGTAGTGTTTAGTGTAGGCAGTGGTGACGTACCAACAACCCTGCAAGTGACAACTAGTCTACCTTGTTATCTTTCATTGGTTGTGAAACCCTTTGTATCGTGCTCAAATACACAACTATAAAGTGATTCAGCGCTTTATATAAATGCATATCATTGCTGTAAGACTATTTTAATCCTCGGTGTTGCAGGTTAGCTAGTTTTATAGTACCAGGGTTACATCATACAACTTGGTACCGTACAACATTTATTTTTGTTTATTTGAAGCCTATTTGTGAATTTCCATAGTCATTAGTCTTGGCTAGATTATTGGACTGATAAAAATATGATCTTCAATTAAATGATAATTGAAACTTATTCTTATAATCATTGAAATTTCACGATTTATAAAAACGGTATTAATATAATATTTCACATATTTTCATTTATACAAATATTTTTTTTTACTTTTCTTAAATATTTGTACTATTGCAGTACTACGCATTACAGTATAGCTAAGCGTTTTTGCTCATCATTTCACTCATATGATTTTAAAAGTCATTTCCAGGGTTAACCTAAATGTTTATACTCATAATTGTGTCACAAATGCTAAAAACCTATTCGTATGTGTCGATTTTCGTACTTTCAATAATTTGCTGTTTACTTAAAAACTAGGCAAACTCTATGGTTCAATAAACAATAACACAAAAACTTCGTTACTAGTAACATTATTACTCTCTTAATAACAAGTCACTGTACTGTGCTGTACTGTATAATTTATTAGTATACTTTTATGAATACAGTTTTAATATGTGTGTTGTTATATCTCGGATTTCGGTGCAGGAGGGACGGTCTCAATTCCCGGGGACAACTCTCGATAAAAGCGTCATTTGGTGTACACTGTAAATTGCCTTTATGGTAAAAAATGCCACTGACTTCAACAACAAAAAACAAACAAAAAAATCATAAAATTGGGTTATAGTATACATATTTACAGAACATATACGTCACCCAAACAGTTTTAAAAATTGCATCTCTGGTGAGTGGTCACCTTCTTATCGATATTTGATTTGTAAGCCAATAACCGCTATCCATGCTGTTAACTATCACATATTACACACATTAGTTGTGCAACATTCCTGGTTCCTACCTGACCAGATGCAGATCAGCTGTGGTCAGTAGAGGCTCGTCATGTACGATCTCTATTTCCTAGCTAGCCTGGGCAGGACCCCGCGGGCTGTGTGACGCGGTCAGTTGCAGCTTGCAAGTTGCGTTACATAAGGGTTGTGCAGTTTATTGTGCTAGATATGTCTACAGGCGGCGCCAACATATTATCTACTTTCTCTGACTATGATCTATAATCTATAGAGTCTACTATCAGCCTGCGTCACTGCGTCCATGTTGCTGTGACTCGGACTACGTGCTGCCTCTGTGACTGATAATCCACCAGGAAGTGGGGAATAAAAAAAAAACAACGTCTAAAATGATTAAGATTATGTACCAGCTGTATTTCTTGGCTAGACATTTTTATTTATTACTTTCTTATTTTTAGTCAATTTCTCCAAAGGTAAAAGCTATTACTGTACTGATGATTTTGTGGTATGGTAAGACCTAGATCGGGGACCGATTCGCTTTTTCATTTTGATTTCCACAAAGGCCAACAACAGCTAGTATTCGTTCAAATTGTTTATATGAATACGTGTGTGTCGATGAACATGATAACTCAAGTAATTTTGGTTCAGTTTTGTAGAGCTGTATGAACTTCTTTCCCGAACAAGCAATATAGGGTATTGAAAACGGAATGATACACATTTTTTTAATTTTAATTTTTTTTCTCTAAAAAATGCCATGTTTGTATATAAAATCATTGTTGTTACGGAGCATTGTTGTTAAAGGTTACGGAGAAAATGTTTCCAAAAATTGTAGGTACAAATACTTGATATGTCCATGTAATCCTTATGGAAAAAGTTAACTATTGTAGTTTGCTTGTTTGTACATATTTTGATCAAATTTGGTAAATTCTTTTACCTCATACTCTACTATTATATTATTAGTACTAGAATTAACAAATACTTTCTACCTCCCCTTAGCAGCAAACCTTGAAAGCGGACTTTAAAACGTAATACTGATCTTATTTTCTGATTCTTTGGGCCTTCGTAAATCCAAAAATTTAACAGTAATCGCAATTTAGCAAATACACATGACGTATTTAAACCCAAGACTCCCTAACTAAAGTCCAGTGTTGTTCAATAAGCGTACTGCAACTGTATAGTCTTAACACATAAAAATGAATAGTGACAAAGTATGTGCCATTGATTAGCCAGTTAAAAATATAGTTCTTCCGTGTACTTTATTTGCCCTTGCATTGCAGCGCTGTTGATTACAAATGAGGCATACTAGCTTCAGTGTCACGGTACGTCTCATTGCCATTAGTGTAGGAACTAGAGCTGGAAGTGAATGTGTTGTCGGATGTGTGTCGAATACAGCACATGACCTTGACTAATGGACTTGACTCAGCACTCAGAGATCAGCACGTACTAATGTAGGAACTAGAGCTGGAAGTGAATGTGTTGTCGGATGTGTGCCGAATACAGCACATGACCTTGACTAATGGACTTGACTCAGCACTCAGAGCTCAGCACGTACTAATGTAGGAACTAGAGCTGGAAGTGAATGTGTTGTCGGTTGTGTTCCGAATACAGCACATGACCTTGACTAATGGACTTGACTCAGCACTCAGAGCTCAGCACGTACTAATGTAGGAACTAGAGCTGGAAGTGAATGTGTTGTCGGATGTGTGCCGAATACAGCACATGACCTTGACTAATGGACTTGACTCAGCACTCAGAGCTCAGCACGTACTAATGTAGGAACTAGAGCTGGAAGTGAATGTGTTGTCGGTTGTGTTCCGAATACAGCACATGACCTTGACTAATGGACTTGACTCAGCACTCAGAGCTCAGCACGTACTAATGTAGGAACTAGAGCTGGAAGTGAATGTGTTGTCGGATGTGTGCCGAATACAGCACATGACCTTGACTAATGGACTTGACTCAGCACTCAGAGATCAGCACGTACTAATGTAGGAACTAGAGCTGGAAGTGAATGTGTTGTCGGTTGTGTTCCGAATACAGCACATGACCTTGACTAATGGACTTGACTCAGCACTCAGAGCTCAGCACGTACTAATGTAGGAACTAGAGCTGGAAGTGAATGTGTTGTCGGATGTGTGCCGAATACAGCACATGACCTTGACTAATGGACTTGACTCAGCACTCAGAGCTCAGCACGTACTAATGTAGGAACTAGAGCTGGAAGTGAATGTGTTGTCGGATGTGTGCCGAATACAGCACATGACCTTGACTAATGGACTTGACTCAGCACTCAGAGCTCAGCACGTACTAATGTAGGAACTAGAGCTGGAAGTGAATGTGTTGTCGGTTGTGTTCCGAATACAGCACATGACCTTGACTAATGGACTTGACTCAGCACTCAGAGCTCAGCACGTACTAATGTAGGAACTAGAGCTGGAAGTGAATGTGTTGTCGGATGTGTGCCGAATACAGCACATGACCTTGACTAATGGACTTGACTCAGCACTCAGAGCTCAGCACGTACTAATGTAGGAACTAGAGCTGGAAGTGAATGTGTTGTCGGTTGTGTTCCGAATACAGCACATGACCTTGACTAATGGACTTGACTCAGCACTCAGAGCTCAGCACGTACTAATGTAGGAACTAGAGCTGGAAGTGAATGTGTTGTCGGATGTGTGCCGAATACAGCACATGACCTTGACTAATGGACT